ATGAAACAGAATTTGAGTAACCGATTTTACAACTGCCTTGCGAAATGTCCCGTCTAATTATAGAACTTTCTAGGCGTGAAAAAATAAAGTCTCACTTGCCGAATACAGATGAGTTATTGATCCTCACAAGAGAAAAAGGTGTGACTCGAGCCTCTCTCGCTCCCGCCTAAACAATTCTACGTATATCTTATTCGCCACTTTTTTAAATACATGTTTTTGTTTGGTTTAGATACCTTTCTACCTCAGAATTTTGAAACGTTTTTAAGAGACCAAAAATAGAGGCAGATACGTGTTGCAGTCAGTTCTGTCCTGCTTTATTTTATGTTTGCCCTTTGACATATTTGTAATATTGTGCTGTTTTGCACATTGTTATGGTTTTGTTCATTTGAGCTATGTGTTGAAAATCAATAACCTTTTATTAATTATTTTAAGGTAATGTAAATAATGTAATTTTAATGTAAATAAAATTTGTTGGAAAATAAATATTTGTTTACTAATATTGTTTATTTCAATGTATTCATTCTATTTGTCAGAAGAGGGTTATTTTTATTATTTTGTTTATTAAATTATTACATGGAACAGCATTGTGAAACTATAATATTGATAAATTATCGATATTGGTCAATACAGGAAAAATTATCGTGATGATTTTTTTGACATATCGCCAACCAATTTTTCTTTAGTTATTTTTAAAGCATGGCAAAAATGCTACGTTTCCACAATTTTGGCTACTAGTGTATACAGTTAGATGCATGTATGAAATACTAAATATAGATTTTTCTGTAGCTGTGTACTGATTGCCCTCAGAAGAAATGCCTGAATCTTTGTTTAATTTTTTTCTAATGACCAGCCACAATTTCATAAACAGATTAAATTCTTTCCATTAATTTTCTTTATGTTGAGTTAATCGATTTTGCATGGAGCATTCGCATTTTCAGCTTGATGGTTTATGGTTAATTTGTGGCTGTGCTGCTCCATAGCATAAGATTCATAACACGCCTACGTTGTCAGAGAATAAAATAAACCAATAATGAAACAAATGAAAGATCAGCAGAACTATGTTTGCTGATCTGTGAATTTTAGTCCATATGAAGTTATTTACTGACTCCTGCATTTCTTTGGAAACCACAGATTAATTTGGTTGGTCCATTTAAAGATTGCAGTAATCAACTTATTCCAATGGAGGGAGCTGTAGTAGCATACAGTAAATGCCTTCAGTTCCTGGCTACGTGTTTTTCAGTTTCTGCAGTTTGTTTTTAATACTTATATTATTAACTCTGTGGGTTTCCTTGCACAATCCAGAGACATGTTTAAGTTAACTGTTGGACACTTTGGGGAGAGTAGTGCGTATGACGTGCATCCAGGGTGACCCCTGCCTTGTGTCCTCTGCTTTCTGGGACAGGCTCCAGGATCACCATGGCCCTGAAATAAATAAGTGATTACTGAAATAGGTGGATGGATTGGTAGGGATATATAGTGTGTATAAATGTAACATTTTGATTTTTTATAATAGTCAAGTTAAACGTGTTGGAAGATGTCATCGACTACAAAGCAGGTACAGTATGTTCTCTTATAACGGGGAATAGATTCAGTATAATTGATTTATTAGGCATCAGTTTCAGTACAGTGGGTTGTTTGTGTTTGTTTACGCTCGTATTTTGTCTGCGAGTAACTCCTGGGGCTTCACGTATAAACAGTGCATACGCAGAAAAATGTTGCGTACACCCATTTCCACTCTCACGTCGAGATGTATAAAAATTAAACTTGGCGTAACACTACGCACATTCTCACGGCAGCCTCATTCTACACGTACGCGCGTTTCTGCTTCTGTAAACAGGTGGTGTCCAGCATCAAAGCAGAGCTACTGTTTCTGTGTGGTTTCCCACTTTTTTTTATATTTGCATCCATGACGCGGGCTTTATCAAATACACCGAAATTAATTGCATATCATTTACAAATTTAAGGCCCTTGTAAGCACTCTGTAACAATAAAATTGCTGATTTGGTGTTGTTAGAAGACGTTGCAAATGGAAGAATTAGTAGTAATCAGAGATTACAGATTTCTTGTCCCTTGATGACGACTGGTTTCTAAATCGATATAGGTTTCCAAAAGCTATCCTCTTGGAGCTGTGTGCTGAACTGGAGCCAACAGGAGCATTTCAACACGAATTGGCTGACCTCGGGTATTTCTCAGTCACCACTGAGTCTCGCTATGCCAGCTGTATGGAAAGGTATTATCTGCTTGTCACCCATACAGTATGTAAGATATCCTGGCCCTGTGGTTGGACAGTCAAAGATCAAAGCGCAATGGGTCGTATTAAGTTGATGTCATTGTTCAAGGTACGCATAAATAAAAACGAGGCGGCGGCCATTTTACCGGGGTGCGAGTGACAACAGCAGAAAGAAAACCCCGAATCTAAGTTTCTTCTGCATACCTTCGGATCATACAAATCAAGGCAAAGAGACCAAAGAGCTGCCGGAAAGGCTACAGAAAACTTGGCTAAGATCCATCGATCGAAAGAACTTGACGATACTACTGTATAAAGAAGTGGTACATTCTGTGTTCTGAGAATAGGCACTAGACTATTTCAATTAAATGCATTAAAAATGCGTATTCATTTCCTTTTGAGCATTTTGTAATTTGTATTTTGCTTGGAAGAAAAAAAAATGAGATGTGTGCTAATTTGTAACAAAATAGATTGAGAGATTGTATTCTGTGTATCTAAAATACTTAATAAAATGTCATTTTAAGAACGTTCATCACTAGGCTTACATACTTTTAAATACAGCCTATCGCCATCCTTCGCATTATTCCAAGGAAAGAAGCTGCTTTGGTGATCTGCGCAAATTGTATTAGTATATGCAGTAAAATAGGTATATATTGCTGACTGAATGTCAGTATAGGACGATTAGCAAACAGCAGTACTGTGCTCTAGAACTTGTAAATTAACTCGCTAGCCTCCTAAGGCTAGTGGCATTCTAAATGAAATTAATTTCAACAGACATGCTCAGGCAGTGGCATCTTGTGGTTTGTCATATATGAAAACCTTCATTAGCAATAAATCAGGCTAGCCAGTTTTGTTCCCAAGGACAGAGTTAATTTCTATCATCTAAATGTGGGAGTTTTTATAGCCAATGAGCTTGTGCAAAATGGAGAACCAACTGGTGAACTTTACGTTGCATATCATCTGTGTCGCTGGTCCCGTTTTTATTTGAGTGTATATCTAAATAACAGCTTCTTTGAGTTTTTGTTCGGCACCCTACTGTAAGACAAAGCTGGGAATTCACGCATTATGATCATTTAAGAAAGCGTTACGGCGCCTCATTGCGCCTGCATTTACACTTTATGGTTAACTGTGTGGTAGATTACTTCCTTCAAATGATACGAAGAAATGTCTCAGTCCCATGTGCCTGACCGCACAAAATACAGCTTTTCATTGTCCTGAGCACCCGCTATACACTCACCTAAAGGATTATTAGGAACACCATACTAATACGGTGTTTGACCCCCTTTCGCCTTCAGAACTGCCTTAATTCTACGTGGCATTGATTCAACAAGGTGCT